TACGATGCCAGCGAAACGTCTGGGAATGTACCACGTCTACGGTTCAACTTTGGAAATGATCATGCAAACACTGAACCCCGGACTAGGTGCATTCCAATAAGTCTTCCTACCAATATGACCATGTTGCGAAAATAAGGTCAAACAACCTCTAAAATGATACAGATTATAGTCTTCATTTCATTGCATGCGACTCACATTAATGTCCTTCTACACCAAAATGATCTAAATTATTGGTACTTATTTGGTAGTGGCGATCAAGAATTTTATTGTTGTCATTATACACCATTTATGCAACATTTCGAAGGGTAAGATTGAAGCTTAGGTCTAAATTTTTATAAAATTTTACTGCACCTTTATGCTAACAGCCTTTTAAACTGCATGGATATGCGAATTTCAGTTAAAAATGAAATCTTATTTTTACTCTATTTTACGAAGAACCAGCACAATTTTTTACAACATCATACGACATTAACGACATTAAGCAGCAGTCTGCATCTACCGATGGTTTTGGATGCTATTTCTTCTGTAAATAAATAAAGGCTCATTCATTTTACCACTATTTACTACAAAAGTGGGTATAAGGTATCCGTCTCGCCTTAACAGACGCAAAATGTCGGGAAAGTAATTATATATATGAAATGTATTAACCTTATTTTGTCTAAGTTAATGAAGGACTAATTTTCATACAAGGAATGAATAAATTTTCTCTAAAACCTAATTGTAAACAAAAAAAGAGATGAATTATCTCTAACACGGAATGCCTTAGGCTAGAGTCCAGGTTGGAATACGGTTTTCATTTCGATACTGTTTAAACTGTATTCCAGCTTGGATGAGAGCGTACGTCTAGGAGCCAAAGTGGAGAGGAATGTAATAGATGACTCAATCATTTCTAACTATCCACCTAGCGACAAGCTATGTACAAATGTCAAACGAGATTTGTTTAAATTTCAAACACCTTGCGCTATTATATACGGAAATGTTTAATTGTCACTTTGAGCATCCTAATTAGTTGGCAAAAAGTAAAGAAGTATCAGAATTTATAAACACATTCATTGAGAATACCGAATTAGTATGATATGGTAATTGAATTTATTTAGAGGCTTTCTCATTTCCGAATTGGATCTTGGGACATTCTTTCAAGTAAATTTATGAACTATGACAACCAACTCGCTTTTCATGGGCTAGTTTAACTTAAATTTATGACGGCTGTGTTCACCCTATTTCGTATAAGGTGATGAAGGACTGGTAGTTGACTTTTACCACAATTATATGAGTAGACCACATGTTACCATTGCAATTCCCTTAGTCTTGAATCCCCAAAGGTATTATAATTCAGAGTAGACTATCGATTCTATCTCGTTTATGTGTCATCAGTAGTCCTAGTGGGACTTTAACCCAGCTAAGTAAAGCAACACTGCCACGAGCTTTCGTGGAGTACAGGTAAAACGTAAATTTTCAGGAAGGCCAGGCTTTTCCCATCTCATTTTGGGAAGCAAGGTTATGTGAAGTCCAATAGAAACATAGGGTCAACTCTTATCGTTGTGCGAAAAACTCGACTACCAATATTTTATTATGTTAAACGAAATAGGGTGAGCAAATCTCATATATGAGACAGATTTCTGTTGGCATACCTTTTATTTCTTTGAAGAGACAAAAAGAAAGGATTCATAAATTAGCCTCACTAGAAGCTGAACATAGATGGATCTGGAGTTTCGACTGTAGATTTGTGCATATATGACCTTAGTGCATCGTTCCGCAACTCCGAAGAATCCATGCTGAGCTTTCATCTGTCATGTGATTTACAGTGTCAAAGCGGCCAACGATATTTTATGAAAATTCATTAAGTGCTAAGAAAAAAAAAGACGAATATTTGTAAATCATGGTTTTTTGCTCGGACGACCTTTGCCATATGACAGACGAAAACCTCAGCATGGATTCATCTGGGTATCAGGACAGTGAGCCGAGGACACACTCACACTTATCGTGGAATAACTTTAATTCCATCCTCGTTCGGCTTCAGTTGATGTTAATTTAAGAAACATTTCCCTTCTTATATTCAAATGATAAGAATGGCATTCAAGCATCCACCTATTAAGGGATTCTTTTTCTTTTAATATAAGACTGATTGCTCACCACCCTCTCCACAGTGTGATTTCTGCTGCTGATGCCCAGTTTGAGTCTAAACTGTGGCCCAATAAGAGTGGGAATGCCAGATGAGTCAGATTTGGTAACCAAGCCAGCACTTTTGGTATTATAAATATTAACTCAAATGTAACTAGGTTTGGATAAATCTCCTGAAACTTTTATTTTGTGTGAAATGGTCAGACTAAAGTTCAATCTCACCGGAAAACCATTGCTGTTTCCTGTTGCTCTACAGTCGTTTGATGCTACTATGACCTTGCTGGGGCAGTAATTAAGACATTCTCGTGCAGTTATGGTGAAAATAAGCTGAATTTTCCTCCAGCATCTGACAGACATCGTCAGATTTGTATCTCATTTTTGCAAAGGATTCAAGGTTACATTAACTCAAGAATATGTCTTATCAGGCACCCTCACACGAAATTAAATAGTAAAGCATATCTTCACCAGCTCAATATATAGCCAGCCTTGTCTGCGTTTCAACTCTTCTAGCTCATAGGTTGGGAAATCCTTTGAAGCCCTAACAACTTATCTTATACATATTTTTTCATACTCATAAGTAGTGTAGAGTTTAATCTCACAAGGATTTTTAGTGCCAAAACATTGTGCCTTCCATGCGGCAATTTAATAAGCCATCAGCATTCATGTAAATCTATTTTTCTACTTCAGCCTCAGGCATAAGAGCTACAAGTCCCTCCAGTAACTAGATTGTGAACGGCACACAGTCGTGCTTCTGCGCCAAGACCCCTCCGCTCAGGTCGGCAAAAAAGATCCCCCTCGGCCATCACAGTCAAGTTGACATCTTTCCTCAAAGCAACAGATGTCTCTCTTGGAGTTTCAAACATGTGCACCAGCATAGTTGAGGCTCAACTAACCAGAATCCTCTTTTCGACGTGAAATAGTTGTTTATAAATCTTAATCTCCTTATCGATTCCATTCTGTGTATTATAGGACTAGGCCTGCCAACTCCCTTTGCCTGATGGTGACTGGCAAACTCCACCCTGCACCAAGGATTGTTGATGCTGCCTGTACAATCGTAGTAGAAGAAAACAGACATAGGCTTGCCCTAATCTGGGATTTACTACTCCAACTCGGTATTCATCGGCTTAGGGATAAGACCGGCTAGGCCAGCAACCCTGACGGACGCACAATAGCACAAGCACAAGCACATACATATGCACATTCACTGGCATATACTCACCAGGTCTGCACTTTAGAGACGCCTTCACGACTTCAGATCGATGGAGGCGAGAAAAAGAATCCAGACTCTTTGACTCCGGTGCTTTAGGAATTGCCCAAATCCACGATTCCGGTAACCGGGACGATTGTGTCGGCGCAACACAATCCACCGAAGGATTACGCCTTTCCACGCCCTGATGATGCAGGAGACAAAAGGCTATGTCCTTTTTTTCATGTAACCGTGTTGACATAAAGAACGTGTGCAGACCTGCTGCCTCCTCGCCAAGAAGCGATGCTTGTATGTGCTCAAATCTATCCGAATCTGAGACAGCACAAGAGGACAAGCACATGCACACAGGCACAGACACAGCTTGTAGAGTTTAAGAAAGGCCAGGCAGGCAGAAAAGCAGGCAAGCCGTTCTACACAAAGCCGGCTGAGGCGACGAAAAAAATAACCCTTCAACGCGGGACCTCTGAAATGGATTAAACCGGCTTAATTCTCGCCAGACACAGTTGCTGTCGTAGAACGTGGAGAGGGAAGATGTGCTAGTAGCCGAAATCTTGAGTGCGCCGATTGGGTGAGAGATAGAGAGCATGAAGGACGCAGAAGAGTATGCGTAGCAAGGACAGTGAATCGGTGGAGCGGAGGCAGGCAAGATCGTCTGCCAGACCCTTCGTACTTGGGCCTACCTTGTCACCTCTACTCACATACAGACTGTAATGCACACGGCTCCGAAACACACACACACACAGAGTGAGGGTAAGTGGAACAAGTCTCTTGAATGTGCGTAAATATTGGCGGAGTATTGGAGGAGTGTGAAAAGGCGGATTAAAAGCACGCGCCTTCGACCACACGAGTCCGCAAAAGATACGGAGAAAATTCAGCCTGGGGAGACAGATCAAGGTAGGCATGGATAGGAGGAAAGACTGGAGACAAGAGTGAATAGGCGAGGGCCGAAGGCAGAGGTACAAGTTAGACCAAGCCAGAGAAGGATTGAGCTGCTGCAATTGGTCAAAAGAGTGATGCGAGCGGACGAATTAGATCGGACACGCTAGTTTCAACCAATTAAAAAGTGGCATTTCAGGAATTAGGCTAAGCGGCTAAGTAGGGCAGTCGGCCAATAGGATAGACGGCGTCGAGTCCGGCTGGAGGCTGACGGCCAGTCAATACTTTCTGCATGAATTCACAATTTAATTGATGTTATGAGATGTATTCACCCTATTTCATTTAAGTTAATGAAGGACTGGTAGTAGATATGATATGAGTAGAGCTGACGTTTCCATTGAATTCCACAATGCCTCGCTGTCCCAAGAGTTGTTCTCATCCAGAGTGGACTGCAGTTTCCACCTCGCGTCGGTCTTATCAACACTCTCAGCGTGAGTCGAACCGTGACCGTGCAGAATGGCAGCTTGACACGTTAACCACTCGACCACATTGCCACAAGTGC